TAATTCAAACAACTTTGTATTTTCACTAATAACAAAGTTACTAATGGTGGACACTTAATTTGGATAACCCTGTATATAAAATTTATTATATAAATGTGTATGAGTATACATAATGTATATATATTTTTTTGTGACGAGTGTTATACATATATGTCAAATCATATTCAACTGACATATTTATCTCGCTTTGATTGTCTCAATTCTAGAAAAGCTTGGGCTCAGCTGAGAGTAATGAATGTTTGTCCCCAGAAACACATTGAAATACCCTATGATCTATTAGACATAGCACTACTTCAGCTTTGCTCCATCTAACTGACAACATCGTAGGTAACTTAGACAGAGATACTAATACCATATTAGTGATGATTGATTTCTCAAAAGCCTTTGATACAGTTAATTACAAAATCATGTTGAGCAAGCTGAAGTACATTGGACTATCTGATATTCCGCTAAGATTTTTCCAAAGCTACTTGGCTGAAAGAAAACAGGTAGTTAAGACGGTTATGGGCGTCTCTTCTAGTACTGTGGTTTCGTCTGGCGTTCCGCAGGAGTCAGTTCTGGGACCCCTGCTATATTTACTTTACACCATAGACTTAGACTCCTGTGTCGAATTTGCTTCGATACAAACGTATGCTGATGACACACAATTGTCATTTCACTTCATATATGCTCAGTTAAATGAAGTGTCGCTTAAAATTAATACTGACCTAGCTGAGGGGATATTTATTAATAGTTCAAGTGTGCATTTGTTCAATTTTCTTTTCTTTTTCTGTTTCATATTACTCTGTTGACTCGTGTGTGCGTGTTGTCAACACGTTATCTATTCAATTCATTCAATTTCATTTCTTTTTCTTCTTATTATTACTATTATAATTATTATTGATATGAATGTGACCTTAAAATGGACGAGTCGTAGTGACGTGATGTTTTTCTGACATTAAAATTGCTGGAATGAATAATACCCTTCACCACTATTTCATTCTAAACAAAATGCGGCGCCCATTTAGGACATGAAAGAAGAGGGGATGAGTCTTTTTGCTCCTGTCATGGAGTACAGTTAGTTCTTTAAGAGCATTTTAGTATAGTTTGTAAATTACATTTAACAAGCATTTTTAGACAATTCAAATTCAAATTCAAAATATTTATTTCGTCATGAATACACATCATAAACGAAGGAAATTCTACAATATAGAGCAATGACGAAAAAGGACAGTCTCTCGATTATAAAACCGATACATTGGACCCTTTAATACAAAGAGTCCATGCGAGAAAGCCCTGAATATCCTAAAAATCCTTAAATAAAATAAAAAAAAAACAAAGAGGCAAATGAAAAGGCGGTGAAACACAAAAAAAGGCAAAAACGAAGAAAGAACCTCCGGGAGCTGGCAACGGACGCGAAGAACAAATCTATACAACTTGAATACAAATGAAATACGTTCAAGGCATATTATTTACTGACACAAAGTCTTAAAATCAAATAGATTTTATTACCTGTTTTATCACTTATATTAGGAGAATCTTTAGAACAGCTTGAAAACTAAGACCACCCATTCCGAAAGTTGTGCATAAAACTGCATGGTTTTAACGTCTTTTGAGACTAAACCAGTTTGAAACTACAATATAAAAAAAGATTAAACTTATTTGACAATCTTATTGTATTCTTTGAAAAAAATGCTAAACAGTTTTTGAGTCCTGGTAGTATATCTACAAGGTAACTTTAAAGCCATTGTCTTTTACTTCCTATGCCATTACTGACGAGGAAGCCTTATAATCGCGAAACATCTCAGAATTAAAATATTATACAGGGTGGCGCATCGAAAACGAAACAGACGCATTTACTGGCATCACAGTTTTTTCTTTGGAAAAACGCCCAGACACGTCGATTTTGTTTTCGAGGGGGACACAAGTTTGGCAAAAAATCACGGTAATATAGTACGTGCAACCCCCTGGGCGGGGGTGACAACAACCCTAAAATGTTAAATGGAAGGGGGGTCGAGTGATACCTTATTTTAAAGGTATTTCAATTCCCTTTATAATGATGTAAAATACATGAGCTTCAGTTCAGTAGTTTTGAAGATTTATTGATTTAAAGCTTAAAGTAGACTTTAATACGTACATCAGATTAGTTTGTACTACTTTCAGAAGAAATTTTACTAAAAGAATTTACTTAATAAGTAAATGCTTTTCTTCGCTACGCCTATGGTTTGTTTATCATTTTGTTGTTGAAAATAGCTATTGGAGCGTTTTTTTGTGGCAAAACAGTTATTTCTTGAAGGACGATAAGGAAATATCTCGTACTTATTTTAAATAGGAATTTAGTACATAGTTTGCGATTGATTTGAGCAAACTTTGTTGCTAAAATAACTTGTAACGCTTTATTACATAAATTAACCATGGTATATTCCACAGCAGAAAGAGTTGAAATTATCGAAATATTTTTCGGAAATAATCAGTGCGCTAATAGAACAGCAGAAATATTTAATGAGCGACATGAGAACAGTAACGTGCATCGAAAATATGTTCTAGAACTTGTAGCTAAATTTCGGGAAACTGGGTCAGTCGCCAATAAAAAACGCAACATTGAAAATCCCATAAGGAACGAAGCAATAGAAGTAGGGATTTTAGGGCAAGTTTATGTAGATCCTACGTTAATTACCCGCAAATTGGAGGCTGTGTGTGGTGTTAGTCGACGTACTGTCCAACGGATTCTAAAGGCCCCTAGTTTTCATCCATATAAAATGCACCTGGTACACTGAACTTAATGAAGACAGTTTTGATCGGCGATTACAATTTTGTGGAGATATGAGTGAAGAATTATAAACGATGAACATTTTCTATTCAACACTTGCTTTTCCGACGAATGTTCCTTTTTCTTAAATGGCGTAGTAAATTGTCATAACTGTTGATATTGGTCCGATTCTAATCCCAGAATTTATCATGTTGTTCATACACAGTAGCCACAAAAATTAAATGTTTGGGCTGATATTTTTGGCGATCATTTAGTTGATCCTTTTTTCTCACGAGGTTACTACTATGTCAAGGATGAAGAAGCTTTAGTTTTTGAAAACATTTCTAGTGGTAGCGGAGCTAGGGGCAAGAACACGACAAAAATAAATGACGCCTAAACTTCGTTTTTCAACGATTCTGAGACTCCTAATCACTTTCGAAAAACTCTTTGTACGTTTGAAATTTGGGGGTTGGGGGTTGTAGTCGGTAGGATACTGTAAATGTAGCGTAGGAAGTATAGACTCAATCTTCTCGACGCCATTTTCTATTTACCACAAAAAAACTGTTTCAAACCTCAAATAAACCTACAATGTCTTCATGATGTTTCTTGTGCTGGGACACCCCAGGCAAGGAATCTTTGAAAAGCCTGATATCTATTTTCAACGAAGCTGCCATTTTAGCCAGGTCTATTGCTTTTAAGCATGTCCGCTCAGTTGATAATTTCATTTGCAGGCAAAACCGGAAGCCATCGTCCTGCTAGTGCTCTGCTTTAACTAAGGGACGCAGGGCTGCAGAAAGGTCCTGCGGTAACGGCGGATGACTCATTAGCAAGCAGCAGGATGGGAAGGAAGCGAAGAAGGAAAAAAAAGCGAAAAGATGACCACGCTGGGCTAAAGGAGACGGGAGAGGAGCGGAGGAATGCTTCATAGGGAGAAGCTTGTTCAAAAGTAAGTGCTTCCTGCATTAGTATTGTTAAACACTAGAACCATATTCATGATGAAATTATAACGGGTGATGAAAAAACACAAAAAATTTGAAAAAATGATTAAATCTATATTTGAGTCGATAGAACGGCCGATATAATTTAATGTTTAAAGATTATTTCATGTAAATGTTGGCCGCGGCTCCGCTTTAGATGGCCCATGCGCAATTTCGGGCACACTCTCTCCAACATATCGGCCGGTATGTCACGAATAAATCCTTCAATATTGGCTTCCAGTGCATCAATCGTTGCTGGTTTATCCCTGTAGGCATTAGCTTTAACATAGCCCCACAAGAAATAGTCCAACGGCGTTAAATCTCACGATCTAGGCGGCCAATTGACGGGCCCCAAACGTGAGATAAACTATTCAGCGAACTCGCCTCTCAATAGGGCCATTGTTTCGTGTGCGGTGTGGCATGAGGCACCGTCTTGTTGAAACCACATGTCAGCCAAGTCCAGCTCTTCCATTTTGGGCAAAAAAAAGTTTGTTATCATCGCACGGTAGCGCTCGCCATTCACAGTTACGTTCCGGCCATTGTCGTCTTTGAAGAAGTACGGCCCGATGATGCCACCGGCCCATAATCCACACCAAACAGTGATGTTTTCGGGATGCATTGGTAGCTCTTACAATGCTTCTGGCTGGTCTTCACTCCAGATGCGGCAATTTTGCTTATTAACGTACCCATTCAACCAGAAATGAGCTTCGTCGCTGAACACAATTTTTCGATAAAAATGTGGATCTTCCTCCAACTTTGCCAGCGCCCATTCACCAAATGGGAAACGTTGTGGGAGGTCGTGTGGCTTCAATTCGTGCACCAGCTGTATCTTAAAAGGTTTTACACCCAAATCCTGTCGCAAAATTTTCCACGTAGTTGAGTAACAGAGGCCCAATTGCTGCGAACGGCGACGAATCGACATTTCACAGTCATCACTAACACTGGCGGATACAGCCGCAGTATTTTCTTCAGTCCTCCCTCTACGTCTGCGTGTTGGTGGTTTAATGTCCAATAATGTAAACTGGTTTCGAAATTTAGTCACAAGCTTCCGAATAGCTCCCTCAGTAGGCCGACCAAATTGCCAATAAATTGGAAGCAGTGCTCGATGCACTCTCTTAACCGAGCATGAATTTTGATAGTAAAATTCAATAATTTGCAAGCGTTGTTCGTTCGTAAGTCGATTCATGGTTAAATTATAGACCAAACTGAACAAGTTTGACAATGACACAAGACACGATTCACGCGTCATCTGTCAAAAACAGTGTAGATGCAGATACTAACAAAAAAATCACACATTATTTACACAAAGTTTAATAAATAAATATCAGGAGTACTGTAAACATTAACAAAAGACGAATACATATTCGAATCGTGATAATACTCTAAGAAATCACATATTTGTATACTGTTACATTAAATCTAGATGACCAAAGTCTACTACTTCAGCTCCAATGTAACTGCTGATGCTTATCATGCACTTTTTACGTTCATATGATCGATTACCTAGCTGATTCGAATCTAATCTAAAACGTTTTTGAATTGGGTAATTAATACATACGCGTTTTTGTAAGTTAAGCCAAAATTTGTAGTCAGTAAGTAAGTTTCATTAATTTAAATATTTAAAACACACATGACAACAGCGCGCCGGTCACTCATCACTCTTATCGAACCGGCAATCGATCGCAAACGGTAACAGTGGTTAGTTATTGTTCGCGTACGTCGTCGTGTTTACTTACAATGTTCTCGAATCAAGAATTCGCCTACATGTTGTTAGTTTACGGTGAAGCTCGTCAGAATTCAAATCTTGCGGCTCAAATTTCGCCAACGGGTACACCCAGACAGAAGGACATTTGTGCAAGTGTACCAAAGACTTCGAGATACAGGAAGTGTTCAGCCCACTAATATTCGCACTCGTGAAAGACATGTTACTGTAGAGCAGGAGGAACAAATTTTAAATATCGTGGAAATCAATGCAGATATCAGCACGAGGATTTTGAATTAGGCCGCCGCGTAGGACTATCGCATACCATACATAGTCTATAGAATCCTACAGGAAAATTTGCTTTATCCCTACCATGTACTATATAACGAGTGAAGGCCTTGTTACCAGAAGACAATCCTCGCAGACTAACATTCTGTCAGTGGTTTTTGCACAAAAACATTGAAAATCCGAATTTTTTTAAAAACATTCTAGCGGCGGATGAATGTACTTTTACCGGAGATGGGATATTAAATTTCCATAATATTCACATGTGGGCCCAAGAAAATCCTCAGACCATTCGTGAATGTCGTAGTGAAGCTTGGGTGAAAAGTGGAGCAAGACATTTTGAACATCTTTAAATACAAAAAAGTGCAATGTGGGGTTTAAAAAGAAAAACAATGTATGTATCAAAATTGTGTTCCCTATTTATAAGTGGATTTTTTTAATACTTTCAATAAACTTTCACACACCAGGTGATGTCGCTTTTTAACCCCATCTACCGATTTAAATAATGACTATCATAACGTTTACACCCTGTATACGCGGTTTCATTTGGCCACACAATGGAGTTCTTTGCTTCTGCTGTCACGGTGTTTTATCTTAAGACAAACTTTTCAAATATCCCCCAAGTCTTTTCGTACCAAAACTGGCGTAGAATCATAAATACAAAATTCGTTAGCCAACAAATTGCTTGTATCGGAAGTCTCCGAAGCCTTTCTAGCGGAACAACTTCTACTTAATGGTTTGAAAGTGCTGGCATTGCTTATCTGCCTCAAAAACCTGTTATCAGGATGTTGCAGACCATACGGTACAACATCGAGCCTAGAAGATCTACTACTAGATTGCCTTGACAAGCCGCAAGTTGTACTGGAATGTACTTGATCATAAATTGGAGCGTCTGGTTCAGCAGAGGTACTGCCACATATACTAGGTTGCATTGACGATCTGGTATTAGTGCTTCCATGACGTATATGAGCAAATGGTACCACCTCTACTATAGAGCCACTATAGCTGCTCGTAAAACTATACGACTTGCTGACTTTTCTTGGAGACTTGGTTCCACCATCAGGTTCATCTTCTCCAGGAGGTGCTGCCTCCAGGTCGCTGACAACGGTGGTTCTTGTAGATCCAAAACTGCTGACTTCAGTTATGTTACTTAGTGGCTTGGAGTCTAGATGATTTGAAGTGTAAGGAACAACTTCTAGTGTTCTATCTGGAGTTGGCCTGTCTTCACGCCACAGCTTTCTACTAGCAGTACTTTTGGTAGTCGACTTGCAAGTATCAGTAGTACTGTGTTGTCTCGAGAATCTGCCGTCTGGAAGCTGCAAGAGACAAATGCCTTTGAATTATTCAAAGTGGTAATGAAGCTTTAACGCATGATTGAATGTTAGCGATGACATTCAAGTCATTTTCTTGTAGATCGTTCCACAATCTCGAGACCCTCAAGACAGAGGAGCGGTCGTATCGGCCAGTCCTGGATGTACGAAGTTCGACACGGTTAGGATTTTGGGCAAATTCGGTTTTTCCCGTCTCTCTCCGGAAGTAGTTTGGATTCCAAAGCTTTCTAAGCGGCGTCTTGTTAGTTACATTTGTCCCCATTTAAGCCACTTTGCATCCCTTACCGTTTCCAAGATCATAATGGTGAGAATCGCATTTGAAACACACAGTATCGAGGTGTCAGACTTAAGGTCATGCGTCAATATTGAAGGTAAACAGAACTGTTTGTTTATACATCGAATTTAAAAAAAACAGAAAATGACACTTTTATAGAAATAATGAAATTATCGATGAGACGTTAATTTTCGGTATCTTCTAGACGCTGTTAACGTTTGGCGATGATGTCGTCCTGGGTGTTTTCATCCAGTGTCGCTTGGCAGGGCGATATTATATTTCAAGTATTGCTTCTGAAAAGGAAAGTTCCACCTTCCGGTAGTCGGTGCTGTATTTATATTTATACCTACCATGGCACATAGTATTTCTGAATCAGTCTGGCGGCTTTTGAGGGTATCAAGATTGCTCTGTCTTCGATAGCTCCAGCTCACAGAGGGGACGTAACCATTCGGCAAGCTGATGTCATCATCACTGCTTTCTTCCTTGTCAGTGGTCATATTTTTGGAAGATTGGCTACCTCCGACCTGACATATGCAGCCTAACGCTATACCTGCAATATATAATTAAGTAAGGTGAAAAATAAAGCTTCCGCATTTAGTTGGGTACTTCGAGAAAATTCAAGCAATGAGGACTCTTTATACTTTATTAGTCTCTAGCTTTCAGTGGACTTTGCCATCATCATCAGGAGCTGCAATAACACTAAGAAGAAATAGCAACTATTGTACAAAATTATTTTTAATTACTTACAAAAAGTTAAGTTGAGGAAAACGTTTAGTAACCTGGTGAAAGCTAGATCCGTGGTACATTCGTTAAAATTAGTATTAAATAGACACAGCTGTATTTCAGTATCACTTTTATAGTGAGGACGCATTTTTTCAAAGATGAAAGACAGAGTCCCGTTGCTTGGCTTAACCAACACAGCTTACTCCATCAATTGTAATAATTGCAACCAAATATACATAGGTCAGACTTCCAGATCTCTAAAAGGAAAGATTACATCACACAAAAGTTATTCTAGGCTTCATCCCGAGAGATGACATCTCATGTCTCTACAACAGGACACTCTATGAACTACACAAGTATCCAAGTTCTTGATAAGGAGAAACACCTATCCAAATGTTTATTCCCTGGAAATGTCCCACATTTTCATGAATAACAACAGTATAAATAAAAAGACAGATGTTAAGCAACTGAGCGTCATTTACACATATTTGCTAACCTGCGAAAAGTTGGAGGAGCACTTACACATCTCACCAAATTTTGATTTTTCACAACCATAAATGGAACCTGGTTTTTTAGTCTATTTCACCCTTTTCCCTCCAAAACTCCATCCCATTCAAATTTGAATAGGCATGCTTCTGATCAGGTGGTCAATGTCCTCCTGTGGTATCTCATTCCAGGCAACCACCAACTCCTCTCGAAGTGCTTCTAGAGTCTGAGGAGGACGTTGCAAATTGAGCAATCTCCTACCCATCATATCCCACTCGTGCTCAATTGGTGATAAGTCGGGAGAGCTTGGTGGCCATGGTAACAATGTGACATCATTATGTTGAAAGAAGTCTATTGTGACTCTTGCAACATGTGGTCGGGCATTATCTTGTTAGAAAGTTGGATCTGCCAGGGTGTCAAGATAGGGTAAAAGATGGAGTTCTAGAACTTCGTGGATATAACGCTGCGCGTTCATGTTACCTCTGATGAAGATTAAAGGTGACCTGGAACCATAAGCTATAGCACCCCAAACCATAACTCCAACAGTGTGATGAACATGTCTTTCAACTGTGGATTCCTCCTTTCACCACGTCGCCTTCTAACCCTGACACGACCATCGTACATGCCTAAACAAAATCGAGACTCGTCACTAAAGACAATACTGTTCCATTCCTGATCCCAGAGTGACCGTTGTCTACACCACTCAAGGCGATTACGTCGGTGTTCTCGAGTTAAAGGGAGGACCCAGTGTGGCCGGTATGAAAACAAGCCAAAACTTCTCATTCGTCGGTAAACACTTCGCATGCCAATAGGTCTTCCGTGTTCTGCAAACCATTCATTTGCAATGGACCTGGTAGTGGAGAAACGGTCCCTTAAGGCCAATAATCTTAGGCGGCGATCTTCACGGTCTGTTGTTCTACGGCGGCGTCCAGTGCCCCTTGCTCTTTGCGTATGGCGTTCTCGAAGCCATACCTGACAACACCTAACCACAGTGGCTACACTTCTTTGCACTTTAACTGCAATTGCCCGAAAAGAAAGTCCAGCTTCCCGAAGTCCCACTATACGGCCCCTATCAAACTCACTAAGTTGACGAAATCGTACAGGTCTCCGTACTCTAGGCATCGTAACCGATCGTAAAGGATGTTAAGAACCAAAATCCGCCAACGTTGATTCTTTGCTGCGGCTGAAATATTCATTTTTAGAGCGTTAGTGAATTAAAAAAAAGCAGTATTAAAACCGGAATGTCCAACTGATAAGGCTGAAAATTTTTTGACTTGTTATTTACAGTAAGATAAATACATTCACCAACTTTTATCAAAATAAAACCATTTAAACTGGGTGTTCGGATTTATATGTCACTTAGTATAGTTTGTTCTACTGGTCTGCTGACAAGTTTTTAGTTAACATACCTTGATAAATCACACCATCTCAAGTGATTTGGCAACATAGCACACATTTTTACATATCTTCGTTCCATCCATCCAGACTGACACTACCAGCCTTCTGTCATCTGTCAAATGTTTCATTCTACTTATAATCCTGTGCCGCACCATTTTGTGTAGCATCAGGTTGTTTCACGATGTAACATGTAATAATTTTAACTTTCGTTCCAAATATTTTTAATCCGTTTTGATGTGTTCCTGACATACAGCTGTGTGTATTTTATACTAATTTTAACGAATGTACCATGGATCCAGCTTTCACCAGGTTACTAAATGTTTTCCTCAATTTAACCTTTAATAACATTTAGCAACAATCTCACATACTATTGTAATTTTAAACCATTTTGCACAATAGTTGCTATTTCTTCTTAATGTTATTGTAGCTCCTGATGATGATGGCATAGTCCATTGACAGCTAGAGACTAATAAAGTATAAAGAGTCCTCATTGCTTGAATTTTGTCGAAGTACCAACTAAACGTGGAAGCTTTATTTTTCACCTAACTAGTCTAGACGAAACTGACCACGTCTCAAGTTATAATTAAGTATACACAAGGATGTTCTTTCTTATGTTTGGCGTCAAAGCAGCTCGCAAGACCTTTGCTCTAGTTTTGTTATGTCTGGTTGTCCCAAGTCTGGGAAAAAGAAGGGAAGAAGAAAGAGAGTGAAAATGAAGAGGAAGCATAGTCATAATACTGGATACTAACCCAAAGTAATTCCAAAGATGAGAACTACAAGAAGACTGAGCAGTGGCGAAAGAGTTACTACTTCAATCACAAATTCTTCGAAAAAGTTGCCCTCGAACAATTTTCTTGTTTCATTACACAATATTATCACTTCAGTATGATTGTTTCTTTCTACTGGTTCATCATCTTCTTCATATAACCAAACATTCTTCTCTGCTACTTGTGGTTCCAAAGCCATCATTCTCTGGAAACGTTCCATTTCTCGTCTTCTTCCAATTCTTCTACAAGGATCGTCATAAGCTATCTGATGCTTCGATGTATAGTTCCTAAGCCTGAAACATATTGATGAAAAAAGTTTGCCTTTATGGCCTCCTTGGTTTTCATAGCATTTTCTCTTCTTCAGGAAGGGTGGGGTATTTCTGTAGTGAGGTTATGTTTCCTTTCTGAATCTTAAGAAATTTCAAGCAGATAAAACAGATGATAAGAATTAATTATTTCTGCTTCAAATTTCTAAGTATTCAGACAGAAAATAGGACGTCAAAATAGAGTGCTGACACGAAACAATAGAAATCTAGAAATGCCTCAGCCTATCTGAAGGAAAGAAAAAGCTGTGAAAATGAAGGAGGCCAGAAAGGTGTTGAAGGCGTTAAAGGGAGGCGTCCATAGGTCCGCGACTTACGCTCTAGGCTATTCACACCAACTGGATTTATCTATGGGAGTGCGTCTACTGAATCGCAATCATACGCTCGGTGCGGGTCTTTGGACGCGTACCCTAATACTGGTGCATTAAGTACAGAGACTACCTAGTTTTCTTTTCATAAATTAGATTTTAATATCGAAGAAGGGCACCTCTTCTTATCATACCACTCTAGATAGTAGAGTACAGAAAGCCAAACACGAGTGCAACTCACCTGGCAAACTCAAGGTCTTTGCATCTAAAAGGGTTGCGCTTTGTCCTAAGCGTATTGAGGTGGCTTATTGGTTGAATCACGTCTGTGGTCAAATGGATCAGAAAATTCTCAGATATGTCCAAAACTTGTACATTCGGAACGTATTGTAATACGTCTGGATGCAAGCTCTCTATGGCGCACTTGCTGAGATCCAGAATCTGAAAAACGTGGACAGTGTTCAAATATTCGCACCTATATCGAGAAGAACTAAAAGAATATAGTGGTGTACTGGCTAAGCTACATCTCTACGTCCTTTTTGTTATTTTTTACTGATTTTTCGAATGTTTATTATGAAAATATTTATTGACTGTAGTATAAACTGGGATTAATCCAGAGAGGTACAAACATTTCCATGCCTGCACAGAGAACTGAGAAGGAGAGGCTAATTACTTGGCTATTCCATCCAGAAACAAGACCTCATCAACAGTACGTATACAAATCATAGAATGGCCGTGGATCAGGTCACGACATCCGTAATGCATAAGCTACGAAAGTACTACATAGACCGGGTCATTTCCCATCTTAGTCTAATCATATTAGACGTAACTACCCTGGCTTGCGGAATAATTTTAAACTCTGGTTTTATTGATGCAAATTGTTCAAGGATGTATTTGAAACATGGACGCATAAAATGGGTTCACCAATTTTTGTGGGGGTAATTCTTTAATCGACAGAGAGACCAAATTATCCCATTTTTTTCCTGACTTTATTGCTCATTAAGATTGCCACGTTTCATCCTTTACAAGATGGTAATGTGACGCTTCGTTTCTTTACTTTTCATTTTCATTTAAAAAAAATACAAAATCTCCTAGGAATGACAACAAATTATCAGATAGTCCAGATTCATCGCAAAATAATTTTTTATTTTTCCTGACTTTACTTGAGATGAGATTTCTCTACAACGTGGCCTGGTAAAATTTTGGAATCCAGTTTTCCTCTTCTTATTTTTTTATATTGACGCTATATTGGAATTTTGTGCATTTAAATGGAGTTTTCAGTCCTAAATTCAGTGATGTTTTTCCTTCCGGCCATGAGTTTGTTGCTGGTACGGAAATTAAAAGGAAATAAAAAGGTATGGCGAAACCTGAGGTCGAAATGAAAATTATATTGATGGTAATAACAATAATAATCATAAATAAGTAGAGATAAATATACTAAGTGACATATAAATCCGAACACCCAGTTTAAATGGATTTATTTTAATAAAAGTTGGATAATGTATTTATCTTACTGTAAATAACAAGTGAAAAAACTTTCAGCCTTATCAGTTGGACATTTCGGTTTTTATACTGCTTTTTTTTAATTCACTAACGCTCTAAAAATTAATATTTCAGCTACAGTAAACAATCAACGTTGGCGGATTTTGGTTCTCGACATCCTTTACGATCGGTTATGATGCCTAGAGTACGGAGACCTGTACGATTTCGTCAACTTAGTGAGTTTGATAGGGGCCGTATAGTGAGACTTCGGGAAGCTGGACTTTCTTTTCGGCCAATTGCAGTTAGAGTGCAAAGAAGTGTAGACACTGTGATTAGGTGTTGTCAGGCATGGCTTCGAGAAGGCCGTACCCAAAGAGCAAGGGGCACTGGACGCCGCCGTAGAACAACAGACCGTGAAAATCGCCGCCTAAGATTATTGGCCTTAAGGGACCGTTTCTCCACTACCAGGTCCATTGCAAATGAATGGTTTGCAAAACACGGAATACCTATTGGCATGCGAAGTGTTTACCGACGAATGAGAAGTTTTGGCTTGTTTTCATACCGGCCACACTGGGTCTTCCCTTTAACTCGAGAACACCGACGTAATCGCGTTGAGTGGTGCAGACAACGGTCACTCTGGGATCAGGAATGGAACAGTATTGTCTTTAGTAACGAGTCTCGATTTTGTTTAGGCATGCACGATGGTCGTGCCAGGGTTAGAAGGCGACGTGGTGAAAGGAGGAATCCACAGTTTTTTGTTGAAAGACATGTTCAACACACTGTTGGAGTTATGGTTTGGGGTGCTATAGCTTATGGTTCCAGGTCACCTTTAGTCTTCATCAGAGGTAACATGAACGCGCAGCGTTATATCCACGAAGTTCTAGAACCCCATCTTTTACCATATCTTGACACCCTGGCAGATCCAACTTTCCAACAAGATAATGCCCGACCCCATGTTGCAAGAGTCACAACAGACTTCTTTCAACATAATGATGTCACATTGTTACCATGGCCACCAAGATCTCCCGAATTATCCCCAATTGAGCACGTGTGGGATATGATGGGTAGGAGATTGCTCAATTTGCAACGTCCTCCTGCAATGAGATACCACAGGAGGACATTGACCACCTCATCAGAAGCATGCCTAGGCGCGTTGGAGAATGCGTAGCGCATCAGGATGCATTCACACATTATTAAAGGTCAAAGGGCTTTAAAGCAGTGCAATCATTTTGAAATTTTTATCATTTACTTATTATGCTTCATTAAGTACTTACACAAAATTTTATTAAAATAAAACCATTTAAACTGGGTGTTCGGATTTATATGTCACTTAGTATAATAGTAAAACCCCTGTCCGGTAATTTTGTAGGAAAGGTCTGACTCTTCTCTGTTCATTGTACACTGCTCAGTTTATTTCTCTTCGTCTCAGTCTCCCAAACATTGTTTTGTCCAATTTTAGATTTGGTATACAAAACAAGTTACTCGTTTGATAATTTTAAGACCTACCTAGGAAACTACGTTTTTCTGAAATAAGTAAGGTTTGGCAATGTCATTGTATGACATGTTATACATTTTTGAAATCAAAATCGTTAACTCTATGCACCTGTATAAAAATCCACTAAGGACTCCATAAGTAAAACTAATGTTGATGCTGGAGGGCAAGAGACGAAACCTCATACTGAAATTCAAATTATGCCATCCTGTAAAGGAGAAAAAGTGGCAGCGTTAATAACAAGTCGGTTTCTTTTTCATCTCTCTCCGGAAGTCCTTTTAATTTCGAAACTTTCTAAGCAGCATTTTGTTAGTTACCTAAATACCCAACGTTATTACTGTTTATTGCGGCTTCGTATCTTTAGCTTGTCCGAGATCCCAATGGTAAGGGTCAAGTTTAAAACACAAGGTATATGGAAATTCCAAATCAACCTATCAGAATGTTTGAAGAAACACAACACACTGCAGTATCTATAAGTGCACATGTAGAAGATACAAATGACGTATCTCTATCCACATAAAAGAGTAGTCGCTTCTCCTCAAATGTTGCAAAAGTAGCCTAGGTACTTGGCTGATCAATTTCAAATTACACGACCAATCCAGACTGTCGTATCTTTTAGGAAACGTCCAAAAAACTGAATTATCGGACCTCTACTCACATAAAAAGTGTGCGCTTACCCTCAAACGCTGCAAGTTCAACCTAGGTTCTTGGTTGATCGATTTCAAATTGTTCCCCCTGAGGTAGAGCTCCTGAATAGATGCTAAGGCCGCAAGCCAGCGATCGTTGAAGTAGTGGAGCACGTTGTAGGAGAGATCCAGCGTTCTCAAGTTTCCCAGGCCTTCAAAACCGCTCAGGTGTATCTGGCCGATTTTGTTGTGGGACAAATTGAGCAGTTTCAGGTTCGTTAGGCCAATTTCCTGGAAAATATGCGTCTGAGCGAAGCGAAGTTGGAATTTATTGCACGGAGAGTTGGAATTGCTGACATAAATTAATACTTTTCTGTGGCGCATTCGCATTGTTTAAATGTATATTTTATCCTGTCTCACTTATTCATGTACAGGGTGACTTCGAAGTTGAGTCATTTATTTTAACAGTGAGTAGATCTGATCAAAAGAAATGTTTTTTTACTTTACCATTTTTCTGGTAAAATTCAAGTAACAAAGTTATAGCCCTTTGGAAGTTTGAGTACCGCCCTGTCTCAATAATAATATTATGTGCTCGTGTTTGGCGACAACGGATATAATCCGCCTTATCGGTTCATCGCATCGGAAACAAAAAAGCGAAAGAATTTGGAACGATGTTTTTACAATTATTTTATTCATTTGTGTACAGTCAGTGTCAGTCGGTAACGCGTCAGTGAATAGTGGTGTCTGTTGCGTGGCTCAAACGAAATAAAAAATGGCACATGTTTATGCGGCTCGGGTTCCCAATCGAGTGCAACCAACCCCTCGTACCTTTGTTAATGTAGTACAACGGGCTCGTGAATCAGGTGACGGCATGCCGGTGCTCCAAGACCTCACGATCAAATACAGGTCCGCACTGAAATACTTGTCGGGAGGATACTTTATAAAACAAGGTACTTCTTTTTTTAATTTTTTTTTTGTTTTTACACACATATTTTGGTTTATCTTCCTTCTACAATCATTATCTGAAAATTAATGACTCAACTTCAAAGTCACCTATACTAAGTGACATATAAATCCGAACACCCAGTTTAAATGGTTTTATTTTAATAAAAGTTGGTGAATGGATTTTGTCTTACTGTAATAACAAGTGAACAAATTTTCAGCCTTATCAGTTGGTCATTCCGGTTTCCGGTTTTTATACTGCTTTTTTTAATTCACTAACGCTCTAAAAATGAATATTTCAGCCGCAGTAAAGAATCAACGCTGGCGGATTTTGGTTCTTGACATCCTTTGCTATCGGTTACGATGCCTAGAGTACGGAGACCTGTACGATTTCGTCAACTTAGTGAGTTTGATAGGGGCCGTATAGTGGGACTTCGGGAAGCTGGACTTTCTCTTCGGGCAATTGCAGTTAGAGTGCAAAGAAGTGTAGACACTGTGGTTACCCTATCTTGACACCCTGGCAGATCCAACTTTCCAACAAGATGATGCCCGACCACATGTTGCAAGAGTCACAATAGACTTCTTTCAACATAATGATGTCACATTGTTACCATGGCCACCAAGATCTCCCGACTTATCCCCAATTGAGCACGTGTGGGATATGATGGGTAGGAGATTGCTCAATTTGCAACGTCCTCCTCAGACTCTATAAGCACTTCGACAGGAGTTGGCGGTTGCCTGGAATGAGATACCACAGGAGGACATTGACCACCTGATCAGAAGCATGCCTAGGCGCGTTGGGGAATGCGTAGCGCATCAGGGTGCATCCACACATTATTAAAGGTCAAAGGGCTTTAAAGCAGTGCAATCATTTTGAAATTTTTATCATCTACTTATTATGCTTCATTAAGAACTTATACAAAATTTTATTAAAATAAAACCATTTAAACTGGGTGTTCGGATTTATATGTCACTTAGTATATTTTATTTTCAGGCTTACTATTACTTGCCTTTTATTGCAATTGTTACACTGTATATGTAAATTGTCAGTTTTACTGTTATGAAATGGTTAAATGGAAGAATCGCCTATGGTTAAGCATCGCCCTATTGAAGTCCTAAAGAGTAGGAGGATTGCAGAGGTATAACTTTATCTGAAGACACTTGAAACACTGTGAAATACCGGGTGCGTTTTATATATCTATATTTAACACGCTCTGTTGCTGCAAAAATCGCCAAATTTCGCAGCAAATATCCCCCGTATAAGAGATCAAAGGCAGTTTCACCGGTCCACGTGGAATAAAGCACGCCTATGCGTGGACATAGCCAATGAGAAAGCGTGTATTTCAGAGCTCGGAACAAGTGCAGGTGGCTACTGAAAATTGAAACAGTTTAGCCAGTGCCGTGTAGCGGTGAATAAACGTGTTTTCTTTAGTCTGTCCGTGTTTTATCATAGATTTTATTAGTTTGTGTGTTTTTGACTTTTGAATACTCAGTTTACTTGTTGATTTAATTGTTGTGTTGATTGTTCTTGTGTGTCCTAAATATGGCTCTTTGGAGACCTTGGGAAAATGCTTCAAGCCACGAGGAGATGGTTGATGAACCTGTGCAGGCAGAATTCTTTCATAAAGATTTAGAGGAACAGACCCAAAGAGTAATCCTAAATATGTATGATGGTCTGAAAAACGAAAATCCAGATTCCTCGCAAAATCAAATTTTAAACAGAATTTGTATCCTGACAAAAACCAGTCGGTCTAGCATTTATCGGGTTATAAAAAGGGGAGATGTAGTCAACCATTCCTTCCACAGAAAGCGCATAGGGCAAAAATTAAAAAGAATAGACGTGGGTTTGCAGGAAGATATTCGTCGTATAATATACGGATTTTATAAAGAAAATTTGGTGCCCACGTTCGAAATAATACGGGATAAATTAAAAGATTATCCTGAAGATTTTTATAATTACAAATGCTTAGACTCACTGCACTGTATTGCAAAACTGTGTGGTTTTCAATACAAAAAATTAGAAAAAAGAATGGTGATTATAGAGTCGTCTCGAATCGTTGAATTGCGCCAAGAATTTTTGCACAAAGTTAAAATCTATAGAGAGCAGAAAAGAAATCTGATTTACCTGGATGAAACGTGGTATGATACCCATGATGTTGTGCAGTACGGCTGGGTTGACGACAGCAACAAGTGCATTTTAAATGCACCATGCAACCGTGGAAAACGAATCATTATTCTCCATGCTGGCAGTGAAAATGGATTTATACCTAATGCCTTGCTGTTATCTGCCAAAAATATCAAAGAATCATGTGCCGACTATCATGAGGACATGACCTCCGACTTATTTGAAAAGTGGATAGAGCAGCAGTTAATACCAAACATTTCCCCAAATTCAGTGATTATTATGGACAATGCGCCATACCATTCCCGACAGAAAAACAAAATTCCGAATACAGGCACAAAAAAACAAGACATTATTGATTTTATGAAGGATAAGGGAATGGAAATACCTCAAAAATCAACCAAAGCCATATTATTGGATCTTATTAAAAGACAAAAATTTGAAAAAGAGTATGTTGTTGACAATCTGCTTCAGCAAAATGGCCATGCAGTATTACGTCTACCTCCCTATTACTGCATTTTTAACCCGATTGATTTGGTCTGGGCTGCTTTAAAAAAAAAAGTAAGAAAACATAATCAGACCCCTCAATTAAGTGAACCGCTATTGGCCACAATAAGAGATGCAGTATCTCATATTGCTGCCACAGACCTATGGAAGCAGTGTTCTAGGCATATTATTGAAAAAGAAAATGAATATTGTGTTTTGCCTCCTGTAAATCCCGTTGTAATTCCTCTACAAGATGACTCTAGCGACAGCTCCGAAGACGAGAATGATATATAAATACCTATTATGTAAGTCTTTATATACCTTTTTATATACCTACCTGCTATGTAAATATTTGCCTATGTCAAACGTTGGAATTCTGTAATTTTTCCATTTCTTAACTTTCAGTCAACATAAATTAAACTCCCAATATAAGTATTTTTTATCCCAAATCAAAAAAATAAGAAGATAGTAAATCCATTTATTGTGATATAAAAACATTATTATTATCGTTCTAAATAAATGACCGCACGCCTATGATACGTCATGAAATTACAAAGGACGCGCCGACCAAAGGTTTTTATGCTATTTCAAGTGACTTCAGATAAAGTATACACGGGTCGATTAAAGCAAAGGGTTCATACCTGTAAGCGAGGTTTCCAGCCTTAAAGATGACTCAAATTTAGGTAACAGAAAAGTTCATATACGCATAGGTCTAGTAATGGCTTTTACTGACCAGGCTGTCAAACTTTTGTTAAATATGACGTTTTTCATAAAAATCCCAATTCTCGATACCCTTAATTTGAGTTTTATAGGTACAAACGTGGCCAATTTAGACCGAAAAATAAGCTCCTAAAGGCAAAAACTGCGGATTTGCGAGTAAATGAAGTGATCTAGATGCTTATTTGTGGTATCAATAAAGCTTGTTTGTTATATGATGTTGGTTAGATTCCAGGAGATCCGGGTGTATTCGCCGATTTCAAAAAATCGACACAAACGGCGCCAAGTGGGTTGACCCTGCACTTCCTAGGCATAAAAAATAGCTACTAACATGTAAAATCGAATTATTGAATGAATCAAGTCAGCCAAGCAAGTCCATAAAATTAGTCCGTAGACAGCGTCTCCCTGTCCCACCGCGTCTCTTCCAGACATCTTACCAATCTGGCACGGTCCCAAAAAACTAGAAATTTGCTCATGTCGAAACATCCTGGCATTTAGGCTTCTGCCTGCGCGGCTGTTTCGGTCTAAAAAAAGTTACGCATCCCACTGCTTGCATATTGAAATGAAAACTACTGGATGCATGTGTACGAGGGATGTCTCTTAAGTTTTGCATATGGAAATAAAACAACACGGTAGGTAGTTTTAAATTACTTTATTGTTTTTTGAAGTATTCTCGACGAAGATTAATACACATCTGCATGCCCTCGAACCAATTTTCGAAGCACTTATTCCACTCGTTTGCTGGCAGATCCAAAACGGCATTTTTGAATGCGTCAACTGCTTCTTCTGGTGACTGGAACCTTTGACCACGCAGTCTGTTTTTAATTTTCGGGAAAGTAAAGAAATCGCTAGGACTTAGATCGGGACTATTATGGAGGATGGTCCAATAATTCCACGTTTTCTTCCGTTAAATACTACCTTATTTTTTGGTGTGTGTGCAAGCTTGCATTGTCTTGGTGGAGGATGATTCTTCTTTCGGGGTTGATTTTTCCAAGCTTGGTGATGACTTTTGGCAAACAAATCGTGGTATACCAATCCGCAGTAACAGTTCTTTGCTCATTAAGAGGAATTGTTGCAATATGACCCGCTTTTAACACAAATGTCGCGACCATCGTTTTCGGAACACTTCGAGAACGGATGACTTTTGTTGACTTTTCTTCACCTTGGGACACCCAAACACCCGACTGTCCTTTATTTTCTGGTTCATAACAGTAAATCCACGATTCATCACCACTAACGATGCTGTACACATTTTTTGAGTTTCCGAAATTGAAACGGTCAAGCGTTTTTTGACACCACTTAACCCTGGCTGCTTTCTGCTCTTCAGTCAACAGGTGGGGTATCGAACGAGAAACTAATTTTCTTACTTCTAATTCTTCATGTAAATTTTTTTGAATTGAGGTCTTTCAGATTCTTCAAGGACGCCCCAATCTCGCGATATGTCACATGTCTTCAATGATGAGTTTGCGCACAGCATCGACGTTTTCCTGGGTGACTGCCGTTTTTGGTGCATCCACCCTGGGATTGTCGCTAAGACTCACCCTTCCACGTGGAAATTGTCGATTGATGTGGCGCTTCGTTGCCGAAAACAGACAGTAACTCACCAAGGCATTCTTGTTGCGATAATTGTCTCTGAAAGCTGTAATAAATTATGGCGCGAAAATGTTCTCGGTTGAGTTTCATTTTTCTAATGACTTGGTGACACTTAAAAATTCACTGTAGTGAGAACACTGTACGTATTGTTGTGAAACTTTGAATTTAAGTTTACTAAAGAGTGAGGTTAAGATTCAGTACCGACGTTCGATCCGCGCGGCCTACTATGTTTCTATATGCAAAACTTAAAAGACATCCCTCGTACAACAAACATTACTTCTCCTTGAAACTTTTTCGAATCCATTCCTGCCTTTAGGCCGGGCCTGCGCTCCAAAGAAGAGCAAATAAACCGTCCACAGCCGTCTTGTCCCGTGACCGTGGTCCATTGCTTCTAATATACGACCTCACTTTTGAAATGGAAAACTTCTCAGGGTCATAAATTCAAAATTGGATTTACGCAAAATGATGCTTGATAGATTTGTGAAGGTACTCCTGTACCTACTGATTTAAAAATGAAAAACGGCATGAAAAAATATGGAACACATGTGTATATGAACTTAACTTCTGATTTATTACTTTGTTAACATCATGCATCCTTCTACAAGCGATCATCTATGTAGGTTATGTATAATCGACCTCTACAAAGCTAATATACTTAACTACCATATTTTTATTCAACAATTTTGGGCAATATAAAAGGAGCTCTGATATAAATACGATTTAATTTAATATTGAAGAATACATAGGACTATTCATGTTTGTTCATGTCTTACCAAAAATATATTGCCACCGAGTTCACTGATCTGATTATGAGACAAATCAATGATCTCGGCTTGGGGAGGTATATCAACCTCTATAGAATACAGCATCTTGTTCTGGCATGTTGCTCTTCTCATCGATTCGAAAACATCACACTTGCAGTAATTTGGACACTTTATCTCGTTTAATCTGCTGTCTGTTTTTCCTATGTTGTAGAAGAGTAGTATGAGGTAGATATGCCTGACACACATCTTATCCCAAAGTTCGTATGATCATTGAGAAAGGATTTATCCTTTTAGTAGACACAGGTTCACTCTATCACATGCTATTTTAATGTTACTATTTTTTACCACAGTAAGTTTTGGACTGATATGACGAAGGTGTGAATCAGATGTTGATACACCGCGACTACGCGGTAGAGATAAGATAGGAGAAAGATAACAGCCGTCGTTTTTTATCGTTTCTGGTAGTTATTCGGGTTTACTTTTCACATAGAGCCCAAAGAGTGAAGGTGGGCGAGTCAGTTTCAAATGATCGATTTGTTCGTTCTTGAACCCGTTTTGTTGACTTTATATTTGTCAGACTTAGCTACCGTAGTAAATCATGCATCAATACATTCTTATGCTGATGATACGCAACTGTATCTGTCTTATAAACCTGACCAGGTCGCTGTTGCAAATTTTCAACTATCGCATGATCTCAACAACATTGCTATCTGGTTTCATAATCAGGGTCTGTCGATAAAACCGAAAAAATCGTCAATCATAACGTTCTCGTCAAAACTTTGTATAGCTCAGTGGGGAGGAACCTGTTCACAATAAATGCGTTCGTAATCTTGTAGTTTACTTTGAAGAGCACCTTACATCTCATGAACATGAACTGTAGAAGACTGTTCGAGCATCATTTGCAAAATTTAAAACTATAATTTCGCAAATGTGTTATGAAATGATACTAAAATTAAACTGATTTCGTTGTACTGAACAAGGTTGAATATGCTGACTGTGTGTATTGACTCAAACGAATACAAAAGGTACGAAACTGATGCATAATGAATATTCACGGTCCAAGTAGATCTAGAAAAACATCTTATATTAAAAGTATTCGTTGGCTTTTGATGCGACAAAGGTCGACTTATCACCTGAGCTGTTCGATCATTCGGTGTTGCTAAGGAAACAAACACACTTGCAAGAAAAGCTATCTTTGAGAACTGACATCCATGATAATTTAAGATTTAGAGGTCACACTTTGAATTTTGCCGAACACAAAACAACAGCTCATAAAAGCTCCTTTCCATATCTAGCATCTAATTTGTACAGCACGCTTCCTCCTATTCTTAAAACCAAGTCTCTCAATGTTTTAAAGCCTGGAATCAATGATTTGATACTAGCCAGTGATTTTATTTAATTTTATTTGTTTTGTTTGTGAATCCTATGCTTTATCTATGTACGTATTAACCATATTTTTTTTTTGATGTGCTTACTCTAATTTTAATACATTTTATTTTACTTTATGCTTCTTTTGTAATACTGTGTATCTACTTCATAACAACATCAACAGAAAACTGCAAAAAGGAACATTAACAGAAGAGCCGCAGAATTATATTTTGATTATGAATTAAATACGAGGATATAGAACAAGCACATAAGTACTACTAACAAAATATCAGAGCAAAATGAAACAAGCACTCTACAACACCATTATAAGAGATCCGAAATGTATTTATTTGAAAATTATTGGATGGTATAAATAGCTGTATTAATGAGGTAAGCTTTAATTCTATGTTCAAAAAAACTGGGGCCTCAGCAAGAACATTATGAAAGTGGATTCCATAGTGGTTAGAACCATTTCTAGTTCTTCGTAGGTGATATGCGTGTAACACTTTTGCAACTACGTGCATCTTGTATAGAAGTTATTATAGAAATGGAAGGGTAAGTTTTTAGGTTGATGAATGCCTCACTACATAGCTGCATACAGCTCAGACCTCCGAAAACTCGGATGCAGCGCCATTGCAGTGCAAATACTTCAGGCATATGCGCAGAGCGACTGCAGTTCAAGAGTGCGTATTCTACCGATATCATTTCTTTAAAAAATATAAGTGAAGAAAACGTAATTAGGGCTTCGAAAAGATTAAAGAACAAAATGACGTCTGGTTGTGATGGTATTCCAAGTTTTTTCGTTAAAGATTGCATTCATATACTCAGAGACATATCCAAATATCTGGAAGACCCCTAAAATATGTCCTATTCACAAAAGTGGAGATATCTCTGATATTTCCAACTATCGCCAAATAGCAATCCTGTGCAATTTCAGCAAGTTGTTTGAGATCATCGCTTATGAAACGGTTTACTGCTCGGTCAGGGGTGCTGTCTCTATTAATCAGCATGGGTTTATGAGAGGCAGATCTACGGTCACCAACTTGGCTCTAATTACTCAGTACATTTTTGAAATACTGGACGGTCAGGGACAAGTTGATGTCAGCTACATAGATATTCAGAATGCGTTTGATCAAGTTGATCATTAGTCACTTCTGGATAAGCTTAAAACAGTGGGTATGTCTGATGCAATGCTGTCGCTCATGAATTCATATTTGAGGGATAGAAGGTTATTTGTCGAATATGGTGGTCATAGGTCGAGTTACTATCGGGCCACGTCTGGGGTACCTCAAGGGTCAAATCTAGGTCCATTATTGTTTTTAATATTTATTAATGACTTGTCTTTTGAACTGAAGTGTTTCCATTTGTTTTTCGCTGATGACCTTAAAATCTGCATGTCAGTCAAGACAGTCGAGGATTGCGTCATGTTGCAAGATGACTTAGCTCTAATTTCGTCATGGTGTTCACGAAACTGTCTCAGTCTGAATGTTTAGAAATGTAAAGTTATGACTTATACAAGAAAAATTAACTATTTAATTTATGATAATTATAACATCAATGGTCAGGTTATAGACAGATGCACCTCTTATAGAGACCTTGGAGTCATTTTTGATACCAAGCTAACATTTACTGAGCATATTCTCAATATCTCGTCGGCTGCCACTCGACTACTTGGTTTTTGTATCAGAAACTGGAAGGGTTTCTCCAATGTTGATACATTAATGACTTTTTTTTTTATTTTTGTCAGGAACAAGTTGGAGTATGCGACTCTGATCTGCTGTCCTATATACCAAAATTCTGTCGTGATCCTTGAGGCCATTCAACGTAAAGCTTTAAAGTATTTTCACTTTAAATGCACAGGTTCTTATCCAGAAAGAGGTTGTGACCATAGTGCCCTATCAGAGTTTTTCAATTTGGATTCACTGTCAACAAGACGAAACATATTTGCTTTGTCGTTTTTGTATGGCCTCATTCACAATAAAATTGACTGTCAAAATTTACTTGAAAAAATAAGTTTCCTCGTTCCAAGGCTAGGGAGTCGACAACAAACGGCATTCTATTGTCAAGCTGGCCGTACAAATGTTATGACAAAATCGCCAATTAATCTCATGTGCTGCGTCATGAACAGTGTTACTGAATCGTGTGATATTTACAGTGACAGTTGTGCATCGATTATTAACTGCTATAGATCATCCAATCTTATTTAGAATGTGTGATACTATAGATTTAAGTCCAAGAACCATGTCTCTTTAATTGTTATTTTTTTTTTAGCGTTTCCTGTAATTGGGCTTCACCTGTTGGAAATAAATAAATAAATGATAATCTTGAGTAGAATTATCCACAATTTGTGTTTAGTATCGTATGGCCAGAAACACAGCTTTTCAGATTCCCGATTAAATAAGTAGTTGCCTGAGAATATTGTTCACATGTTCCTCATGTCATGAGTTTATCAATAAATTTTACTGTGTCTATGGTATTGACGTTAAAACCTATTGCTTATGTTATTTTTGTTATGTGTGGGCGCGTCGTCGTCTACCAATTATGGTGTGGTATAAACACTGTATCTTGCAAGCGTCACCACGCTCCAGGAAATCTAAGGGAGGCAAGGGGAGGGGGTTATGCGAGGGTGTAAGGGATGGATCCGGATCAAGTCATGGCCGGTCTGATCTCCGATTGCAATTAATTCGGCCCCAGGTCTCCTCGCCTCGGGCACCACCAGCTGTGACGTATGCTCCGATGCCAATTTGCATTTCTCCCTCTCCTCTCCCCTCCGCACTCTCCTTACTCAAACCGGATGTATACCTCAATTAACGAGACGGGATTACATTTCTCTTGGATATTCCTAGTGTCTCTAAGAAACATTCTCTGTTCACTTACTTGCAGTAGCAGCAATGCTTTAGTGCAGTTGCACTTTAAACTTGGAGCGCAACAGCTGTACATCTTGAGGTTGTTATTAGATTACTAGATTATCTCCGCTTTAAATATTAATTACGAAATGTTTTTCGGAAAATTGAAGGGCGAATATAATACGCTTAAGTATTTAGGATGATGACTTCGTTCATACCAGGGCCACATCTTAATAATGAAAAGAAATTCCAGAAAACTTAGTTTAAAGAAAATTAAAACCTAAGGGATTTCCGTATAATTTTATTTCGCCCAAATTTAGATATCAAGATGCCGTTTTCGCGAGCTCGTTTAGACATCATTAAAAAAAGGATACCAATGTATTCAATAAAGAGAAGAAAATAAATCATGTCGAAAAAAGCCTTCTAGCGGCCACATATGAAACTAACAAATATTATAATATTTGTAGCCCAGGAATACCTCATCAACTAGCCCAAGTTTTTTCGAATCGGCTCAGCCGTTTCCAAGATACAGGGTGTTTTTTATGAAAACCTTTGAATACCCTCACCACTTTATTTTTAGAGATACAGAAAAAATTGTCAAACAAAACAAGCATCCTACCCATATTAAATCAAATCAAAATCAAATTATTAGATAAAGTGATGTATATACAGATAAATGATTACTTTGTACATGCTAAAATACTACCAGCTGATATCGTAAAGGCTTGTGATCAAAATTTGTCGACAACTTAGTCCTCTTAAATATTACCAAAGCATTTGACGCGATAAATCATCTTATTTGATTAGCTAAATTTAAATATTACGGTTCTCCTGACCCTTCAATTGGTATGATCAATAACTTCATAACAAACATATCTCAAAAAGTTGTTATTGATAATATATGAGCTCATCACCCGAAACTTTAATATCCTCGGGAGCGCCCCAAGGAACAGTGTTTGGACCATTTCTTTTTATTCTCTACATAACTGGTCTGGATGAAGAAGTAAAATATTGCAATATACAATTCTGTACCGATGATTGTCAATTATACAACAATTTCAATAATGACAAAATTATAGTTGCAGAATCTCAAATAACTGAGGATTTAAAGGCTATTAATAATCAAACAGAAAGTAATAACCTTCCTTTAGATCCTACAAAATCAAGAGGAAATATATT